TCTCTTATCCTGCTAACATCTTAAAATATAATGTCAGCTTCTTGACCTTATCGAAGGGAAGAAGCAATGATTCGGTTACCATAAACTTTGGAATCTGGTGGTTTTTCCTCGTTATCCCCGATACGCTCGTACTGTATTGATGTTGGGAACGAATCAACGACAGCTTTCTGTACAGCACGAAACTTGCTCCTTTCATGTCGACGGGCAGAGGTTGAACCTTCCGGATGAAGAAACTCACCATTTATTCGATCCATAAGAAGCTGTAATCCACAGAATGCGATCATTCCTCGCATGAAATCATGTTTCCCACAACCTGTTGATCATACCCTCCACAGCTTTCAATGAGCCCCCTAATAATTCTCTTCTTTTTTAAACAGAAACCTTCTGTAACACACCATCCTAAACGTTTCCCAATTATGATAATGCTCTGGGTCTTGCCAAAGCCCCACCACCATTCCAGCAACATATTCCGAAACCAAGATCTCGTACTCGAATTTGTGCTGAATGCACTGTGAGAGTATAATTAGATGCTTTATCTGATTCTGTCTGGTAAAACGTATGACACCGGCCTCCGTATAAAATTAAATTATTCTCTATGAAAATAATATAAAAATTAAAATGGATAAATTTACATATACTGTACACAGATGGATGAATGGTGCTCTTGCTGTAGGGGTGTCTCGGAGAAGTTACTGGAGCAGTGGAATTTCTCGGTAGCCCGACGTTAGACCAAACTTTTGTGAAAATCAGATCATGCAACATGATTTCACAGTCCTTTTAATCATTTGTTCTAATAACAGGACAAAAGAACACAAAGAATAAATAGATCTCGAACTTCGCTGCTCTTATAACAGTATGATTCTACTAATATATGCTGCTATACATTACGAATCATGACTGTAGAACATTCACAAAGTCTATCTTCATCGGTCCAAATCATGTCATGCCCCATGATTTTCCAGGCCTTTCTAATCATAATGATTGACTCGGAATGATTGGAGGGATTCCTCCACTCAAGGCCCTTTAACGTCCACCGTGGTCAAAATACTCCCTCCCTCCCCCATCTGAGGGGACGGATAAATCCCAGCTTTTCACTTGTGGAGCAAGAGCAGATGATTTGCATTTGACCGTCCCTCCCTACGCCTACCATAAGGCTGAAGTTTATAACACAGGATCAGTTGTAGACTGATGTGTTCAGTTACAGGACTCCACTCCACTCCACTCCATAGCTGTATCAGTAACGACGTAGCTGTGCTCGCCAGTGGGCCTAGGTCAAGATTCCAAGCCTCGTTTTGTAATCACAGCTCTTCCTCGTCCTTCCGTTTGGAGCCGATTTGCCTTCCGGCCCCAATGGGAGGACTCCACATGCGACCCCGGTAGGGCCATCGGGTGGCTATGGAAGTGGGTCTTGATTAAGGTCAGAGAAGAAATTAATCTGCCGATCCAATTCCATTGAGTTTTCATACTTTGCTCCACGAGCAGAGAGTCAGTGAGTATGTAATCCCGTCTCTGGTGGGCCACTGCAGCAGTAGATGGGACCGAGAGCTTAATAATCTCCATCATCATACTCATACGGTGTTTAAGAATGCGCTCAGCGGGATAAGCGCAAAGCTTCGCTTTCACTTGCACTTGGTGGGCCAGCGTTTAGCAGCAGAACTGAAGACTAATTTGGGTCAGAGACGACGACCGAAGCGAGTCCACGCATGGCATCAGTCTACCTCATCATCATAATCCGAGGCCGGCCGAGCTCAGTGAGTGAACATTGAGGAGTGTTTTGTGTAAGGAAGACGGTGCTGGTGCTGGTGCCAACCATCATGATCAGAGTCGGATCGTCTTGTTATACGGCCGTTCGGCCAGCGTTCTCTCGAAGTAGATAAACTTCTCAATGTGGGTACATTTTCATGTTACATGGAGCTGGATCGAGTGAGGTCCGGTTGAATACGAATCTTGTACTGGCAAAGGCTGCGAAGATATTTCATGATCCTCATCGGGCAACGATGCGTTGTCTTCAATTCACTGAATTGGTTCCGAAGAGAGAAATGAACTTTACTCTCTGCAGTAATTCTCTCGTAAAGACCGTGTCCACTTCCTCTTCCTCCCTCCTCCTCCTCTTCCTCTCTCAGATGGAGAACTGCTGCTGCTGCTCCATCAAGCCGTAGGACTGTAGACTCCTTGATCAAGCAGCTAGCAGCTACACACCTGATACGATTTGATCTCCAGCAATGCAGCTCGATCATTGTGGAAGAACTCCAGCCGTTTTGCACTTGTCATTTTCGTTTCTGTACATTCAATTTATTGATTATAAATGAGGCTGTGACTTTTGGCATTCAAGTATTCTTTCTTTCCCCCTCTTCTTTTCTACAGTTCTATCAGATGAGTATTTCATTTATTAACACACTCTTCTATTTCGAATGTTTATTCACTAAATAATTTGGTAGCCCACCGAAACAACAGCGCAGTAATGAGTTTTCGAAGGGTACTTTTATCAGGTCGTGGTCAGTGAGAAGAGTTTCAATTATGTTTCAATTTAAGATTTTATGGTTTTGAAAACATTATTTGTGGTACAGTAGTACATACATCGTATTCAATGTAATCAAAATTTCGTTTTTATATCTATATCAAATGAATTTTTAAATCTGCCATATGATTCGAATACCTTTTGGTAGAGAAATCCAAACATGTAACTAGTGCTATACATATTTTTATTGTAATGATAGTTAAGTCATTCATAAAATTGACATTGTTTGACTTCAACAAAGAAACTTTGTTGCCTGAAACGATTTATTGCTTAAGCGTACATTCATACTCGACAGACGCGGAATTGGTTCTATTTTTTCTCTAAAACGTATCCGCATTCGTTACAAAGACAATAATAGAGTTCCAGTACGTTATGTAGAGGAACCTTTCATTCCGACCAGATTCATTGGACTGTAATTTACATACGAACAATGTGCGACTCTCAGAATAAGACCTCCAAGAGTAACAATAATAGAGGGGCTTCCGAAACATTCTTGTGACACATGCATGGACATGTGCCTCAAGAAATTATATACATAAAACAGCTGATATAGATCTTGACTTCTAACGAAGACAAACAATTCTATGTAGTAAATCAACTTGGATTGCATAAACTCAAAAGTTTCATAAAGTGACATTTAAAAAAAAACCGATAAAACTAGGAACACTCCATGCAGGGAAAAAGTACGCCATAGATTTCACGAAACTTGTGAAACAATTACAGTAACCCAGGCCCTAAGTTTTTTCAAAGAACTGACTTGAAATTTCAGAGGTGGATGAAAAAAAACAATCGTTTCAGTCCCAACCCCTCATGAAAAGTCAGAAAATCGAAAAGGATTGTAATTCACAAATTTTTCTCGTGGGAGGTTCATTTATGTAGAAAAGATAATAGTCGGTTTTCGGATTGAGCCGAATCACACAAACAACCACCCCGACATTTCTGTAAGAGGAGGAGGGAGGGTGAAGACCTGAAACTTTTCCTTCTCCTGGCGATGACAAAGTGGATTTCTCGAACCCCTACACATGCAAACAGACGAAATTCACATTCACACCGATTCATTAAAAGCAGAACGCCCTCTTAATGCCAATGCATGGACAGGAACTATCGAATTTGACGAAACTGTTGCCGATCACCACAGTAGACCAGGCCGATCGGGTTCGCAAAACCACGTAGCCGACCAGCGCCAGAAAGAGGTCGCCGGCGGGGCCATTCACGGCACTCGCGAGCCTCGTTTCGGCGTCTCGGTCGGAGAGTCGACGAAAAGGCTCGTCGAACTGGACGGCAACTGGAGCGTGTCAGCAGCGCGCCTAGTGCCAACCTACCATGCCGTCTACCGGCGCAGGTCTAAGAGGTCGCGAGCCGATCATGGTGCTATCATAAGTGCGAGGCCGCGCCGGCCGGAGGAGGCGGGCAGCGGTCGGGCAGTCCCAGCACCGGCCGCTCTGCGCCTCATGCACGCGGCGCTGCTTCGGCCGCCGTCGCCGCTCGCAGTCGAACAGAGTTCATGTGCGAGCCGCGTCTGGATGGATGGATGGATGGATGGACGGACGGATGGATGTCGTGAGACTTGTGAGTGATCTGTGACGAAGTTGATGGCATTTCCTTCTTCTCCAGCTTTTCCCCGTGCAGTGTTATGACGACCATTTGGACAAATTTCGGTGCAACATTTACTTCCTTCTTCAGGAGGAAGAATTAAATCCGATCCACTATCGAGCTTCTTCTGACACACGATACCTTCAAAAGCAAAGCGGGAGCCTCACATGACATTCTACTAGTGCGTAGCAGATTTTAATGTGAACTAGTGTCGAGATTTCTAACCCGCACACGGCAGATTCTTCGCAATCTGGATAGTGATTTTGGAATGATCGAGCAGGACCTTGCCAGAAGATTAAATGCGTAAGAGCGAGCAATCAAGAAATGATCCGATCCAGGGAAAAGAGGACTTTCGTATAAACCAGTTGCATGCGAAGTAACTCGTTCCGAGTATGAATTATTTGGACTAGTGAAAGCTGGAGGCCATGGAGGAAGACGAGGAGGATGCGGAATGGAAGAAATGTACCGAGCCTTATGTTGTGAAAGGATTCGAGGGCTGAGTGAGCTCTGAGATGTAAAGGGAACGAGGCGAAGTCAAATTACTCTGTCCTGTGATGGCTCCAACTTGGTCTACCAGTTGGAGAGGAGATGGGAGGGGACAGCACATCCACCAGCACCAGAGGCTGGACATGCAAGAAAACGTGGAGGTGGGCGTGCCATCCGCTGAAATTGAATCGGAAGAGGGAGAGAGGAGATGAAAGCTCGGAGGAACTAAAGTATGAAAAAGAAAAAGGCAAATCTGAGAGTGGATGCTAGTAAAGTGGGTTCGTTCACCAACGACGTACAGGCTGAGAGCCAGTGGATTACATGTTTCCCTGCAACCTTTTCAGAGTTTTTACAGATGACAGGCCTGCCCTAACGAAGTCAAACCCTCGGCTTTTTTAATAAGCCCTTTTCTTTTATTTGTTTGAACCCGGCCAGACTCCTGGAGGTGGAGGAGTGGCACGAGGGTCTTGTAGTGAGACATGGCTTCGCTCTCGGGGCGTAACCTAAATGCAGGATTTCAAATTCCGAGCTCGATGCAAAATGTCTACCATCAATATCTTGCGCTTCTTGCAGGAGAGAGGGCTCTCTGAGTGCGAAAAGCGGCCGAGGCGTCCATAGATATTCAAGTGACCCTTCGAGAAGCTTTTATTTCCATCTGATGACCTTCGCAGTCAGTCTCCTGACAAGCGTCTCGGATGGCCAAGAAATCGGCCACCGGAGAAACTCCGACATTCGTACATTTATGCCTCTCGTGTCCACAGGATCGGCATGTCGAGATAATTTCGTCTGTTCACCGCTACCCCAGTTGAGCGGTCCTTCCTTACAGACCTCTGTAGCTCAAACGAGGAGCATCCGACTTCACAAATCCAACATCGGTAATTCGCAATAATCAGGATCGGAATGTCTAATCCACCCAGCGTGACATCCGCACACAATCCTCCGCTCTCCCCAAGCAGCGCAAACATGTCCAAATCCATGGATCAGATTCACACCCATCGACGTGCAATTCATACCTTTCCCAGCGTACAATGTAGCCGCTGACATCCATCCATCCGCAAGAGCGACCACCATGTACCGGGATTACGTTGTACAGCGTGGAGTTCACGTCAAAAGCACACCGGCCTATGGGTTATTCCCCAACTCGCCCTCAGAAGCCCCATGCCAGAAAATGGCAAATCGGATCACAAAAGTCCTGCAGCAGCAACAGCAGCAGGAGCTACGACAAGGTTTCACGCTCTGTGATTATTATTATTATTATTATTAATCGGACGAGATCAAAAGTGAGCCTGATTAGAAAGGAGAATGGGGTCGGTGTGACCGAGTTGGCGAATCAAGAGCCGAAGAACTGCGCTGGTGTTGACAAACGCGGGCACGAGAGAGAGAGAAAGTACGTCGGACTGCGCAGTAGCAGAAAGAGAGCTACGGCGCATACATCGATAGACCAGGCGGGCCGAAATGAACGCACCCCGTCCCCTACCGGATAGAGAAGAAGATCATGGCAGACTGAGTAAAGGGCACGATTCACTTCGGGAGCTGGAGCGGGGGCGGGCCGACATGTTAAAGACGACGAGTACAAGGTTGCAGTCGCAGCGCAGTTGCCACGAAAAGTGAGGCAGGGAGGGGGAGGGGGGCCTCTCGTTGTGGTCGCCCCGGAGCTCACTGCATCCGCTACTCTGCCGCTGCAGTGGAATCACGCAACGCCTGCACGGAATCTCGTGAGCCGTACTCGGCGCAAGTGAATCATCTTTTTGTCTTGTGCGCAGAAATTCTTCGCCCTCTGTTTTTCATCACCTGGGCACTTCTGGGACGCGGATCACAACTCTATTATTTTCCTGCTCCAAAATATCGAAACCGACATATTCAGTGCGAGACAGAATATCGCATTGGTGTAAAAAAATTTAATCTCCGGAGGCTCTGTTTGCTTGGCCTCCCGTAGGTTGCGCTCGACCGGAGGGACCCGCCGCAATTCACGTCCTTTCTGTGTAACCTCTTTCCCCATGCCTTTCTTGTATCGCCCTTCTTTTATCTCCGAGTGTCCGATTTTCAACTAAGTGTCTATGCTTCATACACTTTAGAGATGAAAACAACAACATGATAAATTAAAATTTTCACAACGATGACAAAATGGTAATAAATTTTTGTGAGAAGGAACATTCATCATTGAACAATATATCATATATCTGTGTATGAGAATTTTCACGAAGTATCTTTGTGGCTTCCCCAACAGACGTGTACATTTATCCATATAATATTACACACTTTAAGTGCATGTCAACATAACAACTTTTACCTTTTCATTAAAACTAAGTTTGGAACAGTTTAAGACATTTCTCATGTGAGTGGCAATGAAATAAAAGAAAAAAAACATATTTATAATGGAGGCAGATAGAAAACAGAAAGACATTATATTTTTGCCTACATCCATTAATTATTTCCATTCAAAGAAACATGAGTCGAATTCCCTTGAAAGCTTGCTAACATATGTAAGTATGTTTCAAACGCAATTAAGTATGATCGGTTAAAATAGTCAAAGTATGAAGTTCAATAATATTATACTTCTTAAGTGATGTCAAGCTACCTAATCTCTCACACCAAGGAACATGTCTGAACTTCATGATCACATTAGATGTTGTTTCCTCCATACAAAATTACTACAATTTTTTTCAAATTTTCAAAAACTTCCAAGAACTTATTCTACTTGTAAGCAATTTTTTTTATCATGAGCAAGATTAATAAACATATATTACTTATTCAAGTGTTTTAGTGATATTTGTGTAGAGTAAATAGCTTATTGCTAAGTTAATTTTGCTGGTCTTGTTTGATTCCGTTTCAAAAAAATATAGTGTTTTTTTTATATAGAGCGGACAAAACATGAAATCACGATTCTATCAAGCCATGTTAGTAAAAGAAAGCTCAAATTTTATCGTATAAAATCCTAAAACAAAAATATGCAGCAAAACATATAACATAAATATTTACAGGTTGCCTCAATCACATCTCAAAAATAAGCCTCTTTAACTAGATACACTACTTTGTTGCTTCCATTGTGATTACATATTTAGTATGCTAAATATGTAATCATAAGCTACACATAGTTCACTAAGCTATGCACTTCTTTAAATTAGATCTTCAACTAATATATTCGCCTTCCAGTTTAAACATTACCAAGTTGTAGAAACTTTTTTGTTCACATCTAATACACAATTTTATCAAATTTATCTATCAGATTTTTCTCATTGTAAATAAATCATATAAAAAATATCAAAGTATTTAATATTCTTGAAATAACACATTTATATAAACACATGCATCAAATACACTCTATGACAATCTTTTTATTTTATGAGTTTATCAAACCTACTAATTCGCTATATAACATATTGTATCAAATAATATAAAATTTGGATTAATCTACAAATCAAATACACTTTTATAAATTGCTAGATTACTTTCAACTTGTGAACTCATTTGTTACCAATCAAAATTCAATTTCAAATAAATGTTCACAAGTTTTAAAGCCTTGTCATAGATTGATGATTGCATTCTATAACCTATAGCAATATTTCACTTAAAAATATCCTAAATTTTTCTTTCAGTATCAAATTATTTTAATCATACTTAAATTCAATATTAAAATCTTCAAAACTTTGAAGAAGAAGTTCATATTTCACACCTAATGATGAATATATTGATTCAATTTATGAATTTTTTAGTATTTTATTTAAATTCATTTTGATAACTGCATGCAATATTTTATATTTCAGGAAATTTATCTTAAAAGTATTTTTTGGATTCAACAATCTATCGCATTATACAAATTGTTAAAAGATCACATGTGACCCTAAACTCAAGCAACTCTCCATTTGATATATGGAATCTCACGTGCTGTAAAAAACATCACAATAAAAATGACAATTTGCATATTTATTTGGTACTTTTCATCCATATTTTGCAAGCGAATTCTCGCTAAATATTGATTGTAGTCACATTTACATGTCATGATATTCATTGCTTAAAAGTAATTGCAAGCAATGAATATGTGGAGTTAAATATGTAATAAGTTATCTTTGCTAATTTTAAATTAGAATTACATTCACAAGTCAGCTGTGAATATGTGTAGGGGATCAAATCTAAAGCAAAATTTCTTCATTGTAGTATAACGAGCTGATGCAGGTCAGAAAGTATTGGATTGTGGTTGAGCAAAAAATCTAAGAATGCACCTAGAGCAATAGACCTAGTGTTACCAACCTACAAAGGTTGAATTCAAAATGTGCTCAAACTATCAATCCATTACAGAAAATCGTTAATCTCTAGTCTCATCAAAGGACAAAAAAAACAAAAATGTAAATATATGTCCTATGCTAGTGGTCAAAGTATCTTCCGTATGAAATGTGAGTCCTTGTAAGGATATAATTATGTATTCATATCTCAACATACATATTGAGGATACTAAAATTTGCAATCAAAAAATCGAGAAGATAAACAAAAATGGAGTACGTTCATATGATGATAAATAATTCGTAGATTAGATACCTTTGTTCATTTTAAAAAATGAAAGTTACATTTCTTATATGTGATAATTTTTTGTGCTAAAAATCAGAATTTTCTTTCTCAAATATCTTTATTTAGGAAATAAATTAGAAAAATTTTGTTTATAGTAACAAGTTTTAATACTAGTGAAAAAGACTATGATTGAAACTCAGGTGTTAATAAAAATCAGTTCTCGGACAATAATCAATTACATATCATGTGCACTTCATCTTCGAACATTCTTGTAAAAAGCTTTCAACATCATTGATAGTGCACACAGTGAGAAATTCTACCATCCACACACATGTATAAGAAATGAAACATCTATGGTCAGGAGGTGGGTACAGTTCTCTACAAGGAAGCACACTGCTCAAGTTGAGTGCGTGGTCCCCAAATTGGTGGGTAGATAGATGTTTCTAAACTGAATCCATAACCTCAATAAATACATCGTATTGAAGGAGTAGATTATATGCATACCTCCCCATCAAACGCGAAGTTAGCCTGTTCATTTACATGACAACCAGAAAGATGGTAAGGAATGGTTTGGTAGGTGGCTTGCAATTAACTGTTGGATTGTGAAATGGAAGGTATGCATTCAAGAACGTACATGCATAAACATATGGCATGAAATTCTCGCCGAAGAAGGAAGGTGAAGTACTGGTTGATGAGTAAATACCAAGAAACTCATTTGTTATTATATCATAGCTGTGAATAGCATTTGCTGTAGCACATCACATATGAAATTGGTGCTAACCATCATTTCTGAGCCACTTTGAAACAAGTCAGATTGACCATGCAAGGTGTTGCAAAGCTATCCGATATTCTAAGTTTCATCGGAATCAATCACTGTGCTTTTTTCCTTCATATTGTTATTACGTCAATCTTAACCTTATGCTTAATGTATATTTCTTGCCGTATTACTACTAAAAATATTTAAAAGATAAATTTATTATACATATGAAAACTATTTTGACAACATCTTAATACCAATGGTACCTTTATAGTATGAATAAAACAAATATTTTGATTTCAAACAGAATGTTAAACAATGAAAACACACAAAGTTGTTCACACGCGGTTAATGAAAATCTAGTCAATTTGATGTATCCTTTAATACGAACTTAAAAATTTTACAGAAATATGAATCATATGCAACAGAAATAATACATACATATAAATATAGAAAGGTTGGAATATATAAGTTTAATCTCTTATAAAATACTAGAACTAAAGTTATTGTACATACATTCATGTCATGTTCAACTTCAAATATCTAACATATCATACTACAACAAGAATGAATCACATTATGTTGATTCACATGTTTTACTATTGGTATACACCTTGTAATGCAAGAAATATGATTACATTGGCCATCGTTGACCTTAAAGATATAGCAAGATATACATCTTAGATCAATCATGATCCTGAATAGCTAAATTTGAGTAATCAAAAAAAATCAAATGATCATGGACTTTTGATAATGCTTAAATATTAAAATATTGGATTTTATCGGAGTTGAAACTTGATATTTATTAAAAAAATGTATTTAGTGTAATCATTTTGTGTTTAGTACCGTAACAGATTATGTCTATGATAGAATGTAAATCTACATTCTATCATAGACATTGAACCTCAAAATTAATAACCTAGGTTCAATATTATATTGAACCTCAGAAATAAAAAATGATCATGACGCACAAAAAATTTATTGATTGATTTTATTGCTTGTTGAGTAAGTGATTTTAATCTCAGTGAAAAATGAAATAAAATAAAGATGAAAGACTACAAGCTCGATTAAACTTGTCAAATATAAATGCATCCATGATAAAGGTATGAAATGTTCAGTGTTAGTAAGTAATGTTAGATACATATCAGTTTCTAAATACTTACATTGATATAATTTATGGAAGTGATTTTTTTTAAAATTTCTTTAATCCATTTCTGATGGATTAAAAATTATATCTATTTTTTATCTTGCTTCAATGTAGATTATACATACTGATTTTTTTCAAGAATAATAAAAAATTGAAAATTTAAACAAAAATTTATCAAGCTAAAATCTGATATCATCAATGTGATCATTAGAATTATATATCACTATACCTTAAAGACTTAAACTTCTTATTTAATTTAATTTCGAATACTTCATGTTATGTAGGCAATCTTTTTAGAATAGAAATAAAATTTATAAGTTAAACATTACTATAAGATTCATTAGATTTGAAAATTGCAATTTTCACTTTCTTTGATTGGAAAAATTAATCAAAAAAGATGGTAAACATGTTCAAACACCTCTCAGTTATCAAATATTGAATTGGATTGAAACTTAAGATTTCAATCCCATGCATGAGTTGTAAGATAGAATTTTTTATTTTATTTTTTATCTCAATTTCAAAAAAATTATACTGACTCTAATAAATATTTTAAACTTTTTTTTACACAAAAAAAATTAAAAAATATTGGTCTTATTCCAAATTATTATACAATTTGATAAAATTTTCTTCTCATAATATTTTTTCGTAATTCATTAAATTTCTAAAAAATACATATATTTAATTTTTTTATTAAATATTTCAATGCAACATTTGAAATCTATGAAATCAGCTCCATTCAAAGGTTTTAAAAACCTGATATTCAATAATTTGCTACGCAATAAGATGATGTATACATTTAAAATATTACAAACTATCACAATATGCTAATTTGATATCATAAGTTGCAAATTAAATGCATAATACAAATTTTCACCTTTTAAAATGTTTAGTTTGAATATAAGGATGATAAAATATTGAACTTGCTTATCATTATTGGATTTTATGTTCAATTTGAAAAACTAACTATCATAATGTTTGAAGTTTAGTATGTTTGATGAATTGAAATAAAAGATGTCTAGAGAAAAATTAATTTCATAAACTTGCAATCTATGTTAAATATATGTAATATTAAATTCAAAATTATATAAAATGCTATTTTGAAAAACAATATTGAGTCAAATAATTAATGTATATATATATATATATAGCTCATTAGAAATTCACACAAAAAGTCTTTCATTTGTCCATATTTTAATTGAAAATTATTTACCAAATAAATTTAATACATAAAATTTATTGAAAATAGATAAAATTCAAACAGAACAAGTAGAGTTATCATTTGACTTCTACTTTGATGTAAAACATTTAAATATTGTTGTTTTTTTAACGTGTATAAATGTTTTCGTTAACTAGTATCTTGTATAAAAACCAATATTTACATCTTAAGCGTAAAATCTGGAAAATTTATAGTGATTATTGAAACACCATGGAATATGGAATAAACTGTTCAAAATCGATTTGAGAACTTCCACAGCGTGCACTTCCTCGCACTTACCACACACAGGCTACTAGCTCTAGACCACCGATGGAGAAAGCAATCAACCTATATACATGCCCATGGGGTTTGTGGAATTAGAACAATGCCATCTTAAATTTAAGGAAGTGATCTTCTTTAAACGTTCCATCTTCAACTGAAAAAATTGGATTCAAACATAAATGAAAGCTCCATTGACTTCCTGTAATATAATATCAACACCTTATCAATAAACGGATACGAATACAACAAACAACATACCTGTAGAGAAAACATGCAAGTAGTAAAATGACTAGATATTAAATGACGGAGACTTGATACGGACATAACATCATTGCTCCGTTAATCAAGAGAATGTTTCAGAATATTTTACTTGACTCTGCTAGTGCCCACTGCAGTTCCCTTTTAATCTCGAACCTGATCGTTATGACGGTTGTATACGGAAGATCCAATTTGATGGAATGTTGAGTCCATGAGTCAAAAATGATCGAGACTCATTCTTGGCTAGCAGAATATTCAAGAGTTGCAGAAGCAGCTTGACGATTGCTGGAAGCATTGACGTTGATGACAAGTATGCTATATACGAGATAATTGTGTTACAACGTACTGGATGTATTCCATCTTCACTAAATGACTCAAGTTTCTTCACTCAGATCCTACTGTTCTGGTAGCAGATGAGTTCGAAGAGCATCCCACATAAAAGCCACGGCCAAAAAAGTTCTGCCAGAACATAATCGTCGGTTGTGCGTTGTGTGACGATATCAGGCTCCATATTTTGAAATAACAGTGAACATTTCGCATTGTAGCTGAGACAAAATGTTTATCGTTCCAGGAAAACTTCGTCGAAACCAGGTAGTATGAAATGGAACTCCATGAAGTATTCTTCTGTATAGTTTGGGCTGGTGTCGATAACCTCAAGTCACAACTAGTGCTGTAAGAGTCAAATATTGACTACTATACTACTAGTTGTACTGACTTACACGTTCTCTAGTCTAGTAGACACCGCAGTTCGGATAGGACTCGGGTACTGTTTAGTCGCCTTCCATTGCATTTCGAGTCACTACTTTGAGGCCACCATTTCTGCAATCTTTCACTGACGGTGGAATTATTACAGTTCACCCCACCCTTTTCTGCTGCGCCCTCTGACCTTCCTCCAAAGACATATTCGCTTCTCTTCCACACGTCTAATTTCACTCGCAGAGAGAGGTTGGAGAGTTCATCGACAATTAATTTTCGTTCATAGTTTATATAAACTACTAAGTATGTGGGAAAAAAATCAAACATTCTATACACTTTCGGACAATTTACCTGTTATTAAGACTTTGACTGATGCCCTATACACTCTTTACGTAAACTTGGAAGGCTAACACATAGCCACGTGGGTAATACAAAGAGTAGGAAAATGGTGAAAGATATAGTGACTGAGACGTAAGGAGGAGAAGAATTCCTGCTGTTTCAGATGACAATTATGAAAAACTATGTGAGCAGTATGAACGTGCCAGTCTAGCGCAAGAAAGCCAATAGTGAACATCAACCATGTTTCAACGAGAAACATCTAGTTCGGTTACATATACTTTGCTAGATCTTCATTGGATATTGAGCTCTATACATTTCTGTGCATATTATTCTGCCATGCTTAGCGAGGGACGTAGAGGAAATCAAAGCCAAAAGACCGAATACAATGAAGGCTGTTGTTACCAGACGTGTGTCACCACAGGCGGGCGCTATCTAGCCAGAAACGCGATTAAACAAACAGTGCAGAATCTTAGAGGACATATATATAGTATATAGATTGTATATAAATCGAGCCGTCGAAGGCAACATATCTGTCTCGATCATCGCTTCACGGATACTACGATTGAGTAGTTCGGAATAATAATATAACACCGCTATATGTACATGTATTGAGCCGTCGAAAGAAACAAACTGGTCTCGATGAGTGTCCGCAATACGTACTATTTTCAAGAAGCAACCTCATGGTATCAAACAACTCGTTCTTCCGTGATCCTTCTCGGCCATAACCATGGTAACAAAGGCACGTTTACAATCCAACGCACATAAGGTATTTTTGGTTGGGTATGATCTCCTCCAAATACTGTTACGCCTGCCTTCGATGGATACGTTCAAACTTCAGGTAACTATTCCGGTTGGTTCCTAATTGTCATCCATTGCAAATAGCTATACAAGTCCTTCAATCCAGTGATTTAATGACTCGTCAAACTGATGAATGCAACAGCCCGAATCTCCAGGCCCAATAGTATGCATTCACACTCATCTGACCAAGACATTCTACTTACAAGTCTGCTTGGTCATTTATACGCACAAATTAGACTCAATCTCGACTGTTGTGATTGGGATGAACAACTGAAAAGACATATGTATGTATAAAAGAACATTTTATCAACATAAAAGAAAATACTCTCCTTCTAATTCCATACCATAAGTTGTGATCTTTACTGAGACCCTTCATCAGAGATAGTAAACTCCGACGGATCTAATAAGTTGGCGCTCAACCACCTTTCCTGCCAGAAAGCAGATTGTTCAATAATTCCAGCAGAATGATCAATTTCAAAAACTTGAACAGTGTAGACTTGACACTCTTTTCGAAGAAGTTGCTACCCGTGTTACACAATGATATTTTTCCATGTGAATTGTTTAAGGCTAATCTCCATTCTTCATCAACAATTGCGGCTCTTTTTCATACTCCATATCAAAATTCCAGATAAGGAGTCATGATCATCTTTCTGATATTCAATATTTCTCTTTCTATATGCTACATCAAGAAACGCTGTGAGTTTGGTGCTTATAGAAAATGGCTATTTAAAAGCTTTTGTGTTTTAAGTGCGGGGTTGGAGTCCGGCTTTGTATTGTACTGTCGGACACCACAAAACGAAGCAAAAACTGTGCGCTAAAATAAAGGGAAAGAGCCTATGTGCCAAGACAGGTTCTACCCTGCATCGCCTGACAGGCAAACTAAGGTCCGACCCTTGTGAAACCAACTCATAAATCAACAAGTTCGAAACATTTCACATAAGTTTCATAACGAGTGTTACTCCATGAAAACAGAAGCCCACCTGGTATGTCGGTCTCTTAGAAGCACAAGATGAGCGGGATCATCCAAGGAGAGTTTGAAGAATTCAATAGCAAGGTACCAGCTGCTTGCCACACTGCAAAACTCCAAAAGTCGTATTAAAGATTAGATGATGATAAAACGTTACATATAACGAATATAATCTCGGTCAACACACACAAACCTGAACAGAAGGAACAGCCGAGCTGCAAAGAGCTCAACGACAGGATAACAAGAATTTACCCAGAACAAAGAATCCCATCAATATGAAACCAAGAGATAAAACTTCGTAATAGCCGCCTTAGAAAAATAATACCACTGTCAAACTTGTAAATTCAGCACAAGTAAACTTTACCCTACGAGATCTTAACGGCTGTTCTGGGAAATTGAAGAATTTTACAAGTTCACTGCAGAGGTGTTCTCACATTTCATACATGTGCGAGAAAACTTTTAAAAAAAAAAACTATTAGATAATGAATTTAAAATAAAAAAGACATAAAAAAATTATTACAAAGAAAAAGCTCGGATGGAATGAGTCAGGCAGAGCAATGCATAAACAATGTCCTAGAATCAGCATTTGTGCAATTAGCTTATATTGGATCAGATCACAACCTTAGCTCCTAGTAAACTCAAAGTCTTACCTTGCTAAGCCGCTTAATGCGATTCTGCCGAAACTATATAATCAAACCATTTTGCCATTTGTGCCTATTATACTCTAATTGGTCACTATTGTGCTGAAATGACCTATGGTTCAATCTTGCGCAATATCTAAGGACACAGAAATTGAGCGCAGAGCAATGATCCTGACACAAAACGCTCTGAAGTATACTCTCCCAAAGTACAAAAAACTTATTGAAACTCTAAGTTGTCTACTAAGTGGGCTTTGAAGTTTACAACTGCTTAAAACGACGTACCTTCCAAACCCAATGCAAAAGGCCGTCCAAAGAAGTCGCTTTGTCCACGTTTGCTCCTTGTACCAAATCCATCCCTACTACAAAGAAAGAATCCGTTAAAACGACATGGACCAGTGAATCTCTCCACACGAACACCCAACGTCGGCTTGACCTTCTTACTACATTAAAATCTTACCGCACTATGAAATGCACAACAATTTGGCCCATGAGTTCACATGATTTAAAACTAGACCTACATCCAGAAAGAAAGAGTGAACCCATAAGATATGCATAGAGAAACCTCCAAAAATCAGACAAATGAGGACCGCTGCATTTGACCCCCATGACATACTATAATATAGCACTACATAACGCATAAGTTTTTGGTCATGAAATCTGTATGATTGTGGACAGCATTCAGGACAAGGTGAACATCATAACCTAGGAGTTCTGTAATTTTCTTGCTTCGCTATTGAAAGTGATGAAATTCCTTCACGATGCACGATCCAATTGTGGAGTAGAGGTTTGGCGTAAGAAATAAACGTGAATTTGCAATACTTGAAGGTTTATATACAGCGAGCCTAGTTTACGTTCGAAGGTTCATGCCTGCGTATCAAAATCAGCTGCACGACTACAAAAACATGCGCTAATTGCTAGGCCCCAAAAACATACTTCTTGAGTGAATTGGTGATAAACGTACACTCCGCAAGAGATCCAGAGAGGTCTCTGCCTACACTTTAGTATGTAGGGCAGCTTCGTACTCAGCAGATAAATGATACATGATATTCCACGGAAACCTGCCTACAAAGCAGGAAAAATCGCTCTCGTGACCAGATGTACAGGTGATGTGATAGTGCTATGTAAGATCAGATTGCAAAGATGCCTTTTCATCACCCTTGTTCAGCACGCTCTTATGGATGCCATAAGTTGCGTACACAATTACTCCAAGTGTGAGCCATACAGATACTCTCATCCAAGTTCCACCTCCGAGATTAACAAGCAGGTATGCGTTTACGAGAAGGGAAAGAACCGGTACTGCAGGAACCCACGGACATTGAAAACCCCCCGCAGAGCCAAACTTGTGTCTACCTTCATCTTGGTCAATCATAATAAGCACTAAGAAACCAGCTACGAAAGCTAAAGCACCCAGTCCAGTCATTCCCCATTTAAGATAACTATTAAAAGAGAACGACACAGCCACACTCGTGAAAAGCGCTCCGGCACAGACGGCTCCAATGCTCAGTGCAGCTGTCCTCCGCCTCGACTGCTCCGTAAGTGTTTCTTCCAGATCAACAATTTTAAGAGATGAATTCAACAAGGGTTGCTGGTTCTCTTCGTACACCTTAGAAGGTACTCCTATAATATCTTCCGAGCTGCTCTCACTACTTGAATCTGAATCACTGTCGTAATTTTCCAAGCATTTTGGCAAATAAACTAAGAGCGAACATGTCACTTCAGTGGATGGTGCATTGTTTGCAGAAGTCTGTGGCTGATTGGAATGTTTGTGAACACGAGTAGCAGAATGTAGACTGATCGGCGGCTCCATGGGTGGTGTGTATCTCAATACGAGTATTGAGATTCCAACAATCGTAAAAGATAACAGTGTACCCACGCTAACCATTCCAGCAAGCACATCCACTTCCATCGTAAAGGCCAAAGCTGACGCTGCCAACCCCGTGACCAGAGTCCCATTTACTGGTACTTTCGATGTCTTGTTCACTCGAGAGAAAAACCCGGGCAGAAGTCCATCCCTGGCCATAGACATTAAAATTCTTGGCTGGGGAAGAATAGAACCCAATAAAGTTGTGGACAAGGCAGCTACTGCACCACATGTCACTACATACATGGCCCAGGGCATACCGTTGCTGGCAAAGATGGTCGACATGGGTGTGTCAGGATCAATCAGGTAGTATGGTACAATACCCACTACGACAGATGATACCAGCATGTACACGATACTGGTGATGAGAAGGGTTAGAGCTATTCCTATTGGCAGATCGCGTCGGGGATCTTTGACCTCCTCGGCAGTGCTGGCTACAGTATCGAACCCTATAAAGGCAAAAAACAGAGTTCCCGCTCCTCTTATCACCCCACTCAATCCGTAAGGAAGGTAGCCATCGCGACTGTGATATCCTTGCCAGCCAGATTTGAAACCAATGAAGCTACCTGCCGCGACCACGAAGAGCAAAACCGAAACATTAACTACTGTCATGATTGCCTGCATACGAGCACTTTCCCTGATGCCCGTGCACAAAAGAGCAGCGGCTATCAGAACCAGAAGACCGGCACAAGGATCAATCACAATTCCAGAAACCTCTCTTCTTAATAGCCAAGCTGGTAAATTTTCTGCCCCACCGCATAAAATTGCAAGGTTTGGAGCGATCCCTCGTGCGACTGCGGATCCTCCGATAGTATTCTCCAGGATTAATGCCCAACCAATGATCCATGCCAACCCTTCCCCCACACAAGTGTATGCGTAGTGATATGCGCTGCCAGCAGAAGGACACCTGCTTGCGAGCTCTGCGTAGCAAAGGGCTGAGAGGGCAGCGGCAATTCCAGCAATTAGAAACGAATAAGGAAGAGCTGGTCCTACTTGCTCCCTCGCTACCGTTCCTACAAGGACATAAACACCGGCACCAATTGTCGATCCCACACCAATCGGGACCAAATTGATTGCCGTCAGATGACGCGCAAGCTGCGGGCCCTTTCGTTTATGCTCGGCTGATTTGCGTCTCCAAATTCTGCTGAGCCACTTGATCGTCATTGTGCTCGGCCTGCGCAGAATTGGTCCGCCCTCGTCTGAATTGCACTCGCTCTATGCACTTACGTTCCTTCCGTCTTATATGATCTGATTTGCAATTATCGGGACTTGCCATGCTCTAGCTGGACACCGCACGGCATCTACTTGGAAAGAATCGTATGAACATGCCTTCCTGTTCACTAAAGTGGCGGTATATATATCTTATAATATTACCGCCGGAGCTAAAGTGTAATGAATATTTTGAGCTACTATTAGACCCGCGAAAGCAAAACCGAACGATATCCATCCAGAGGCGAACCACGCGAGAATATTCTTACCCCGTCTGACACCGGCTTGAATGAGGACTGCAAAAAGTGCCACTGTTCACTAAGTGATGTGGGGCCCGATAGGGGCAATTAGTTACTCAACCAGCCTTCCCCGTCCTGGCCTCGACGAGTGTCCTGTTCAACACTTAGAGAACTAAACCCCCCACCCAACGATTCTTCACATATTTACAACTCATTGGCGATGATGCTTCCAAGGTTATCTGCTGATAAGTGCCACGATGAACACCCGTCTGCTCAATTTGTATACATCACATCGATCTACCTACAAATATTAACGTTGCAACCGTCAGAGGTTACGTCCGTGAGCGCCAAACCACTTCTAATTGATATTCCGATCACTAGTTTGCGAACTAGAAATCATCATACTAGCGTTCCTTGCGATCGACTAAGCTCAGTAGACTTGACCAAATACTTTCCTGAGGAAAACAGAGCTTCTTCGGGATGAGCGTTCGACAAGTAAGAGAAACCCGGCTGGCCCACAGCATACACTGATCTGTGACCCATCTGATACCCATCACAGTGATGCCCAATCTAAGGGGAATTCAATTATATTACATTCGAAAGACGCGTTTTAAACGTGAAAAATGCTTCGAGTTTCGGTGAGAGAAAGAGAAAACTCACGATGTACAAGAACATGGTGATGTAGAAATCGATAAGTGTAGCACTCATCCATGGAGTCAAAAGCTCCTTCCGGAAGGGAGAGCCGTCTGTGGCGCAAGTGTAAGCGACGACGGTAGCTTGTATAAGCCCTAGGGCCGAACACACAGCTCTGCCCACCAACACCTGGGACACCATCTTCTCGAAACGCTGACTCCGCTCTTCCTCGACGTGGAGGTTCCAAACCAAAATCCCAAACGCGCCCGATCCCAATTCCTGATTTCTGCTTTCCAATCCGACGCGAAATTTCTACCTCTCGACAGTCGATGCGGTCGTGGCGGCGAATGCTCCTTCCTCGTACGTGAAGGACGTGCAAATTTGGTGATTTGAAATCCCGAGCTCGTAATTCCCTCCAACTGCGCTCAGCAGCACTCCGCCCCGAAAGCCTCAATGCGAACGCAGCAGCTCCAGAGTCTGTCTGGCAGTGCTTCCTCTTCTCGCCCCTCTGCCGTTGTGTCCCGCTGTGCTCTTTCTTGTTCGGCTTTGGCCCGTCGTTTGGCGATTACGCGAGCGTTCGTCTTCTTGCGGGAGCTGTCGGGACCCGGCTCTCGGAGACCAACATCGTGAACGAGTTTGAGTGGTACGCAGCCCGCCAACGCCAACGGACGAAGGCGCCATTTTTTAACTTGTCGTTCGTACGCTTCACCCAACAGGAGCGCTGTTCACAAAATATCCGAGATCTTTGGAAAGTGAAGAGACAACTACTTAAACTATTTTGATATATCCAATTTATTGTCCATACAACCTGCTACGTGCCCTTTGCGTATATAATAAATCAAGCCACCTTCCACGGAATTCCAATGAAACTGATCTCGGTTAGGGCCTTTTTAAGAGTAAAGATTTTCTGCATATGTACTCTGTACAAGGAAAGCCTCCCAACAAAATTCTTCTTTATTGAAGGAATTGATGTGCAAGCAGAAACAGAAGCTCTCTTCTGATAGATGAAGAGATATTCCTCGACACGTCATTTGCATGTAGTGACGATTAAATGATAGTTCTATTAGGCAACGCGGTGGAGACAAAAAAAATCATTTAAATCAATTGCAAAATAAGGTTCCAAAATCATCTCGGTTAGTGAATAAATAATGTAAGATGATTGTCTATCTGATGGATATTCTGATTTTTTTGTTATCTACTTTGCACCTTTGTCTTTGTGTATCTTTCACATTTCTTTGTGTAAAGTATAAGTCCAATTTCTATGAAATTTTAATACAACATATTTAATACTACATACGTGGGCTTGAATCTCTGTCCCGTCGAAACAAGTGGCATGCGAGGTGATTTCAAGTTTATAATAAATTCTGATGTAGTTGATAATGAGCTCTAATTTCTGTAACTTTCCATGCCAAACGATACTTAGCTGAAGTTTCAGTAATTCGATTGTTAAAAAGTATTTCTCAACTTCTATTAAGTTACTCTATGAAATAAATCAAATATTTATTGAAAAAATTGTTTGGTTCTACTATCCATAGCATACAAAGTTCTTCAGCCCTGGTAGGGATTTACGAAACGCCCTCTTAGACGTGTGAAACTGTTGCATTATACCTTTTGTTTGAAAATAAAATTGAGATAATCCAAAGTTGAAAGAGTTTTTTTAGATTAATTATTATATATAAAATCAATAATTCAAAGTTTGAAACATGCAAAAGAGGCCAGTACATAGATACGAGGATGGGAAGATTCCATACTTGTGTCAAGCTCTACGAAGATGAAAAGAACGCGTTAACATGCTAGCAGATCTTCTTTCTACATAATGGTAGTACATTTTCTTTGCATAATTTGTTCTAAATAAACATGACTTATGAACATTTCTCTAGTAATACGTAATCATTCATTTTTGTAAAGTGAATCTGTTTGATGTCGAAGTTTTTATTTATTGCAATCAAACTCATGTTATTCTTAACATAATAATTGTCCAAGCTTTCACTATCTTGACTCTTGCAATTTTTTTATAATATTTCAATTTGTTTACTTTTTTTTTTTTCAAATATTTTCAACCACATTTGTAGTATTTATTATAATACTATAATTTTATGGGAACTGTTATAGTTTTCCAACAGCGATTTAATTTTTGTGAAATGTGGAAAACCACAAGAAAAACATCACAAATTTTAATCGTTATCCAAAATCTGTATACGAGACCATGTACCTATTTTATGATGGAATTTGATGTTAAATCATGATTTTAATAATCACATGACCACGCTATAATTTTTCTAAATTTATATAAAACATGTATAATGTTTGCATTTAAGTATTTTGTCACACATTCATGTGCATGTATGTATTTTTCAAATTAATGACATGATGAAACTTCTGAATGTCATTCAATTACAAATTTATACATTTCATGAAATAAAATAGGAAATTGCATGCAATTATACACATAAAAGTATATATCATCAGATTAAATCACTGTTTAAATTTTTTATAAATTTCTCTTCACTAAAAAATGTGTGTATTAAGTATTTAACCTTAAGAGAATAATTATAAGTATAAGTATTCATTGTATTGGAATCATAGATGAGATTTAAAATGGTTAAAATAAAGTGCGATGTTTAACACATTGTGAAATGATTAGAATTTCATTTTCTCAAGCCATTTTTTTAGTATTATTTGTATGCCTTATCATGGAGAATATCTTGCATATTACAGAAAATATTTCTATTCTTTAAGATTGGGAGAATAAGAAGGCATTCCTAACTGAATACTTGAAAACAAAAATGAAAATTCTTACCTTTTAGAGTTGCTCATTTCATATATAAAGTAAATATCTATTAATGAAAATTTCATGTATATATATAGCATTATTTTTATAATTCCTTCTAAATTATAAAATTCATGAATAATTCTTAAGAAAATTTGAGAGTCGAAATTTCTTTGTTATTACTTGCTACAACAGTTCATACCAGATACAAATGGTCTAGCTACTAGCATAGTTCGTCCATTAGACGTATCATGTCTCATCATTAGACGTATCATCATTTGGTGGACCGAGGGCCCAGGGACCACTTGGAGTGCATTCCCGAATTGTCTGGAAACACTGACCATTTCATCACCCGTGCAAAATGACATGGCCTCACTGTGGCGCATCCTGGCGCCTTCGCTAACGTGGCAAATGACAGAGTAAGGCTAGGTGGCACTCGGCTCTGGTCGGTCACGCAAGGGACCAAGGTGTGAACAACAGCGACGAAGTAAATCGGTTGAAGAAAAGGAAAGGAAATTACGGGGAAGGAAATTCCCCGTGAGCGGACTGCGTGTCATGTCGCACGAGCACGCCGGGAAAGTCACCTCCGGTACGAGGTGACTTCGCTCCGCCGAAAACGCGAAGGTCTCACCCCGACGACACGCGTTAGTGCCAGGTGGCAGCGTCGGCGTTGCAAAGAAGAGTCTACGACAAATTTCTGGTAAGCTCAGTGGTCTCCTATAAAGAGCAAACCGCATGGCAAGTTCGTCAAACGCTGATCAGGGTCCTGGAATTTACACACAGAGATTATTAACATCGACAACGTCGAATCGAGCGAGGTCACAAGTTTACAATCTGCGGGAGATTATTTTGCCGAGAAATTGAGAGATCGTGAAGCTAGGAGGCGAATTGCGAAGTTGAGCTCGGTTGCTCTGGTTAAGAGGGAAGTGCGGGACGAAAATTTGGAGGCCGCAAGATGTTTTTCTGCTTTATCTGCGATCAGAAGCGTCGAGTGAAGAGTGCAAAGCCTGCAAATGGGCTTTGTGGAAATTGTGGTGGCGGAGCTAGCGATGTCAAAGTGAAGGACACTTGTAGGTTTTGCTTCATCCCTCTGTGCTGGAGAACTCATCATACCATCATGTGCAGACAGTGCGGAGCTCGACTTCGATCTCATTAGTGTGGCACTACTTCCTCGTTGGATGTAGTTTGTGATTTTATTGTACAGGGCAGTGAAACTTTCAATTGTTTTCAATTTATCTCAAGCAGCTTGATAGTCACCCTGATTGGGAATTTCTATGCGACCAACTTCTTTTTATTAAGTTGGAGCTATTCTTGAAGGGGATAAACCCCTTGTCTTCATCTGTTGAGGACGCGAGCCCTGAACGTGGGCAAAGAACCTCAGTAGTGTGGGCGCGAGTGTAATCATTCTCTTCATTACGAACGGCCAGCGTGCGAGTGATTGCTTAATTAGCTCTCTGAACGCCGGTTACAGAGGAGTGCTAAAATGGAAGGATTGGCGGAAGCATGGGAGATGACTGCACATCTGAATTCTGCAGAGGAAAGCTTTATGACAGTAAACAGATGAAATTTGGCACGTCAATAAATTGCCAGTACCCACACCTAGGAAGCGGAGACTGAGCAAATGAAGGAGACTCTATACTGCGATTGGGAGGAGAAGAAGCAGAACCCTGCGATTGTTCCCATTATCATTATGAGCTGGCAATTTCATTAGAGGGCCAAGAATTATCAACATTTATCTGGTTATAGTGCGTAGGCCAGCTGTTTCTCATTTTGGATCAACATCAGACCTCTCATCTCTTTAGCAAGACTCGTGGATTTCTGAAATTCTCGTGTGTAAGTTCAAAGTTCGGTTGATTGGAAATATCATAAGAGTATATTTTTAACATACCATGCTGTGTCCTGAGTAGATACTATCGAATGGTTGAATATGTTTCCAATATTGTCACACGGCTCTCCTTTCATCTCCCTCCTATTCTCCCCTGCACCTGTTTAGACGTTTAGGGTCAACTTTCCAACAAGGTACGAAATGTGTCTAGCGACTATGGGAGATAATAGACAAGCGTGTAAAGTTGGCTTTAACAAAGTTAACGCAGATGTCGTCTCGTGAATCTGTTTTCCTATCTTGTTGATCAACTTTGCAGATGGATGTTTATGTTTTTGAACAAGAAAGCAGCTCTCCTGTTCTTATTTGAATGAGAATACTACGCATCAGAACGATTTGAACGAAAGAATGATAGAAAGAGAGAGATTTGAATGAAAATATTGTTATTCAACTTGTGATTTATTTGAACCAATATTCTTCGACACGGTAGACACATATGTCCGTTCTTAAGTGAACTAGTTTGGAATGTGAATATCTGTGTTCGTCTACAGGTTCATAATTTGTAGTCTTGACGTATACATGCTTCTTGTACGAAAATGAACATTAACATGCGGTGTACTAATCATCTGTCAGTTCATTCCGAAAGCTGGTGAATTTACACATCAACTTTAGCAGGCCATATTTCGTTGACAGATTCGCATGTTGTTACGTCTCGACACCTTTTCAGATAAGATTTTTGCTGTTTGTGTGCTGATCTGAGGTAGTTTCAAGCCAGAAGATTTTCTTGCCCTTCTACAATCAGCCCTTGTGCAAATCAGCAAAGGTCTCAGCAACTGGATCGAAACCTAGCGTCAACACCTCTGGAAATAGTTGATATACATGCTCCTATTGTATCTTAATCACAGCTGCTGGACTTCTGGCCAGCAGAGACATAATCTAACCACGCTCACCCTTTCTGGTTACCTTAGCGTAAAACTTAACAGTCTCAATTTGAGTCGATATTTAGAACTGCTCACAATGCTTCAACTGCATTTTGCATTTTAGTTTACCCTCAAACATTCTTTTCATTCTCTGGGCATGCTTTATAATTTTTGACATAGCTTCTACTTCAATTTGTTATACTTAGTGCACTGAACAGCACTTACTTAAATGAAAAGCGCCCAGAGCCGCATATCAGTATGATCTCAACAGAAGAGTTTGTGCGCACTGTGAAACTTGCAAGAAACCCCTCCTTGGTCGATGATCGTGAAGAGCACAACTTTTATTTTGCTTCCTAGGATGGTTTGTGGTTATGTTATGTCTAGTTACTGTTATAACACCTCAAAATAGACTCCATATAACAGAGCGTCGCTCAAGTGGAATCTCATTACATATTCATACATCATAAGCATATATCAAGAAAGGGTGACACATGGATAAAGAAGCCCGATGAAAACTCATCGACGCAGGTAAAAAGCAAAAACCAATGCAGTCAGGAAAATAAGCAAACCCGGGGGCCAAAAGAAGAGGAGAGTGCGTACCAACTCTCGTCACATTAGCTTCGTATACAACGATACGCAGTTGCCTGCGAACATGACACGAGGAATTGTGGGTACTTTCTCATTCGTCCCGAATGAGAAAGTACCTACAATCATTGATCTTCAACCGATTAGAGGGAAGTGAAGTGGAGGGCGTCCCACGCTGCTGAGCAACACTCTTCGCGGCTCTTCTCAACATCTTCTATTCCGAACCAACAAATGGGGATATGGAAACTAGGTTAGAAGCAGGCCAACACCGAATTTCAATCGATGCATCGGATCCATTGTAGTGCTTAAGTACTACAATGGATCGAGGCGACTATCACAGACTTGCACATGACGTAGAGCCTGTCAAGTGGCCCATAAAATCACTTCGCTCCCTTACCACTTATTTAGCGCACTTGACTCCACTCATGTAGATAATAGTTGAAGACCACAGAACCGCTATTTGTTCAATAGTACATGTAAGGTATATTAAGGGAGTTTGTATTAGATCATTCTGCAAACACCCGTGGCCCCTTGTGGCCACGGGTGTGGTTTGAGTACCAAGGCAAGGGACATGGAGATATATCCCAAAGGATTACTGTTCTCTCTCTCTTTGATATCGTACTTTAGTTGGCCCTTTATATGTTCCTATGCCATCTTTCTGCTAAATTCAACCGCGGTTTTTTTCATGTGTTCGCTATACACTCATAGCCATAGATTTTGAATGTATTGATAATACCATTGTTTGAAAAGAGTGTGTAGCATCCATCAGATATAAGATTCATGCAGGAAATTCTTTCCAACCCTTTTTTGTAAGATTTTACAAACAAATTTGACTAAGTGGGGAATTAATATGAAATTTTTAACGATGACCAATAACTTGAAAATATTTAGATCATTACCAGAGCTATGGGAACGTAATAAAATTAACATATGCCAATTTGAACTTAAAGTAGCCAGCTAATTTTTTTCACTTAAAAAGACGGACGTTTATCTTCCAAATGCTGATTGCAGTTAAAAAAATATAGTTCAATTTTTTCTTAAACTTGTAAGAAGATAATTGAATTCTTCATAATTTTTATATTAGTCTCCTCCTAAAACCAGCAATGCTTGTATCATACGCCATGGTTGCATATTGCGGACCAATATGCCGTCCGCAATCTTAGCATTGCGATCGTGCGCCGCAATCACACTCTGAACCGACGGACGGATAAATTTGAATCTTGATTCTCCCCCGCTCGGGCACCGTCTTCTACCGTTTCCCGCTCCCTCGCCCGCCCGCCTCGAAATCCCGTAAGGTCTTCGGCAGGAAATAGGCCCAACCTCGTAATCAATCTATGAGCCACGAGATGCGGAGCGAGGAGATTCGGGTCCTTACGCCTGGTTTATGGCCAGCATCTTTTGATTGAGAGTCTGCAGAAAGCTCCCACATTCCAGATGGTTCGCTCGGTGTAGGAATTCCGAGCAGTCGCTTGATTGATCCGAGAAAGATTTGCTCCTGCAAGGCTGAGTTACCGATAGTCAAGCCTGCTGGTAAGCATCGCATCATGGGTTGTTCTGTGTCACCGGAGTGGAGAGAAAGTGATGGCATTATCGATGGTGCAGCTGGTTTTTAGAGGAGGAGCGAGGCACGGAATGTTTGAACGAGTTTCATTTCATATACAATCTGTCCGTGAGAATTGTATAGGGGAGCTTGTGTGAAGCAGCTGAGGGTCGCTGTCAGATTGAAAGTTCATGAAGCGGTCCGGGGAAGGAAATGCAAATGCACATTGGAGTAGTTCGAGACGGGGGCCCTGGGATGGCTGAAAACTGTGTTGGAAGTTTCTGCAAAAGCAGTCGCAACGCGGAAGGTGGCTAAAGGAGTGTTGTTCGGAAGGTCCTCTGAGTAGTAGACTGGTGCTTCAGCATCTGAGGACACACCGAGAAGGTCAATTTTACAGTGAAACACGAGGTTAAATGTAGATGTGGAAGAAGTGATTCAGTTGAATTGGCAGGGTACCATGTACAGAGGTTGTATTAAAACCACGATGTGCTTGAAGTTGTCGCTCCTGATCATAGAATGACGAATTGTGCTAGTAATCCATGGTAAACCTCTTGAGCAGGATTTAACCCATTCAATTTCGTATTTCCAGTCCGCAATGGCTCCAGGAACAATCAGACTCTCTGTGGTCTCCGGTGTAATGAGTGGTTTAGAAGGAGTCTATGATACCAAGAAGCGAATTACCGTTGGTAGGGTGCGAGTTAACAAATTTCAGCTTAAAGCGGATACAGTTTCCTCGAAGCATGCTGTCATTGCACATGCGGATGGTAGATGGTTCATCACAGACTGTGACAGCTCGAACGGGACGTCAGTTAATGGAATTTCAGTCATTCCAGGAACTCCAGTAGAGTTAAAAGACGGTGACACGCTTATAGTGGGAGTTGGAAGCGACAACATCGTAAAGGTAAAAATTGAGACGCAAGGGGCTGTCGATGTGCATGTCCAAAATGATTCAATTGTAAAGAAATCCGCTCTGTCCACTTTGACCGTGAAACAATGGATTGAGGAAGAAATGGAAAGATTATCAGCGGAAACGGAAGCTTTGGCGGAAGCAGTTCTGAGAGGGCTGGCCGAGTCTGCTGAGCAAGTGAAGAAAGATGCCTGTTCAAACGCTGGAGTGGATTGAACTCTGCTATGCCGTCCGCTACATTCTTTCCACAAATGAACATGTTCATCTTTTTATCAATATTCTGCGAGCCAACCGAGAGTATGGCCGTTCGAAATGTACTTATTAAAGGAAGTGTGCTCTATACGGCGTTTATATTGTACTTAGTCAAAGCCATTTAATCCGAGTAAGTTGAAATGCCGGTAGTGTAAGGTCGGCAGGAGTTTTGTCTGGAACAGACATATCCAGGAGATTAGATATCTTCAGATTTGATATGTCTGCAACTGAAAATTAATGTAAGCTTCGGGTCGTTTCCCTACGTCTTTTCTCTTCATGTATCGGGTTTGTATCTGACTTTCTATCGAGAACAGGCCGAATGGTGAACATTCTGAAAATTGTATCGTCTTGCTTATGTTGGAAAGTGCTCTGAAAGTTTGTACTGTTTCGCTTTCGCATGATACTCTTTGAAAGTGATATGCAGCAGTTCATTAGTCAAGTCACTGTACCGTCATTTTGGCATAACCGTGGCGACTCTGCAGCATCATCATTCACTAACCGGCAGTTAGTCGTAGTCATGCGGTAGGAAGGAGTGGAGGAGTGAAGTCTGGTACTTTGGAGGTCGATTTGTGTGAATATCCTAGCACATGCGCCTTCTCCACGCTGCTTTTCTTCTCCGAAACATTCTCACTGTCTACTGAAATTCCCCGTCTTCTGTATTTCTGTGCTCTTCTCATGTCAATTCTCAACCTAGATTGACCTTGTCATTCACTCTTCAGCGTAGTTTTCACCCAACTGGCGATGTTCCGCCGATCATATCCAAGAAGTGTGGCTCTGGTTCCTCGCCAATCCTACACCGCAAGACATGTTCTACAAAATTTTCATTTGTCAAGCTATACAGATGTTTTAAGATGAAGACATGCATTGTACAAAATGAAAATTTGATAATTAATTAGAATTTAATTTGATAATTTGTAGATAACTAGTATTTTTCATGACATGAACCAGAAGTTTTATATTCTCTTTTAATATAGTATACATAAAAATTGATTTACATCAATATATATATATATATATATATATATATATATACATATATTTTAGTCTATTTTTTGTGAATAATAGCTTATAGACATCTTTAGCTATTGAGGAAACAATTTGTACACTAATCAATATTTAATTTGTTATGTGTTTAATTTTAAAATACACTGATTTGTTAGAAAATATATATATGAATTTTTATTAGAAAATTTGGATAATTTTTTTATTATTTATAAAATAATTTGTTTGAATTATGGTTTGGAAATATTTTGATGCTTGAAATGTAATGTATAAGATAAAATTATTATATTATTATGAATAAATATTAAATGCAGTTAAATATAAATTTTATAATACAAATTTAATGTTGAAAAGAAAAAATAATTGAGACTAAAGTTTGCTATTTTTTAATCCATGATCAATCATACATTACTTACTTTAATTATTTTATCTACTTCATGTCATGCCATTGATATATCAAAATATTTTGGTAACCAAATTTTTATCAAAAAAATTAATTCTGTGAGACTAAGATGTCTTCTTGTTGCAAACATGTTAAATCTAGATACTAGATGTTAAATTTTTTGAAAAAATGGATTAAGTTGAAATTCACCTTATGATACGCATGCACACTATTTTCTGTAACTACATATGTAAATCGTTTTTTACTTAAGAAATGAATATGTTCAAATATATGTTCATTTTAGATATATCAATAGTTTAAATTTTTTTTAACAAATTTTTTATTATAACTAAGTAGATATTTTCTATCAATAGAAAGACATAAAGCTCATTTAAAATAAGACTTCTTTTTTCAACTGACGTTATAAGAAAAAAAGAGTTATACTCTCATTTGGATGAAAATTATTCATCCATTATTGTACATGATGCATAAATGTTCAACTTGGTTACACAATGATTATCATGTTATGTTTACTATTGCTGCAACATCTGTACTGAAATGTATCTACAATTAAAGTGAATAAGGCTTTCCAAAATCTCTTCAAAATTTTTAGTTTTGTGCATTCCATATCATATGTGATGGTGTAAGTAGTTTATTAATCATATATATGACTTTTCTCTAGACATTATTTTCAATAAGTTTGATATTGGAATCATGATTCTTCATCTTCCTGTTGAAGCTTTTACCTTCTTCTTTATGGTCGACGGATGCAGGAACAATTCAGCATATCCCGTCTTGCATTCATTAGGCTGAAATCATTTTTCTGAATAAAGTGTGTAAGTTTGATACCTAGTAATTTGTTCCATCTTTCTCCTTATCGAAATATCTCCATCCAATATCTTCATCTACTGTTGAGCATCCCACTTCTTCAGCTGCATATTTGTCTCAAGTAGAGATGGTGCTCTTCCTTGTCGAACTACTTCACATAAATATGGTGGATATTAATATTGTCATGCTGAGAATGATCCCATGCTTTGCACTCTCATCAGATCTTTGGGTTGTGGCACCGAAGGTCACACCTTCGGTGCTAGCAAAGTTGCTGCTGAATTATAGTACTTCACATGGAGGTATTTGGTGCTCTTGTGAATTTAAAATCTTTCAGAGTACAGTATGTACAGAGTCAGTCGTTTACATAGTTCCGTGTTACTTTCTCTGGAATATACTTGTTGTTGATATAGTCCATTACAAGACCCATAACCTTAGATGCTTTAAAACTTATTGGGCCATTTATAGTAAGATTCTCAACTTTAAAAGTGTAAATAGTTTTCACATATGTAACCATACCCATAAAATTAGATGCCATAGAACATATTGGTCCAAGCATACTTAGATTTACAATTTTACATTTGGTTACACATGCATGTAACTCGTCCATTATTTGAGTCCACAAGCCTCCAATCATAGATTAAACTTGACATCAAGTCAAGGTATGTCCAATCAAATAACATGCCAGTAGTAAAATATTTTGTAGCGAACTTGTTGCAACGAGATGAATAATAAGACAGATGGGTCTAGTCACCGCAGATATAGTCCATCATCGTTCAATTTCGGGAAATGGGTCCGTAATCTGACGCACGGGCTGAGCGAAAGTAATCTCGATGAACCTGTACGGCTTTGACTCTTTTCGGCCTTTCGGACGAAGGAGCTGCCACCGCGGCAACTGGAAACCGACGATGGCTGCTGAAACACTGACAGAGACGGAGGAAAGGGTCAGGACGAAATGACAAATACCTTCGGATCGATCGAGGTCCAGAGGCTCGTCCACTCATGTGTCCGTCGGTCCGTCCGTCGAGCTGCCGCTGCTGCTGACGCTGGACTGCCAGAGGCAAGGTCGGTACACTTGTATGTTCCGATTCAGCACTACCTTATCTTTGTTGTCCGCCCGTTGTCCCACTTGGCTGCCCAGCGCTCCGCTCGAGAGCCTCCAGCGTCGGCTGCTTCTCCGATTCCTCGCTGGCTCGAGAGGCGATTTGGCGCGGCGTCGAATGAGAGACTGAGAGATCGATTGGGCTGAGGAATTATGGCTTGCGCTCTCGGCAGCATTGCCACCGGATCTCCTGCTTGTTTCGGCCATTCTGTCAATTCTGCTTCCGTCTTTCGTCATCGCCAGGGAACTTCAAGAAGCGTGAGTTCTTCGCATTTCTGTCGGATCATGTGCATTTTTCAAATTTTCAAAATTCGTGGGTTCGGTGCCAGTGTGAGGAATGGTAGAAATTGGTCGACTAGTGCTCCAATGTTTCGTTTGTCTCGGGTTGGGTTTGCAACTCCGGCAACAGGGAAAATCACGAGCACTGCAATGACTCCGAAGAGAACCTTGCCAGGAGTTTCTGACAGACTTGATTATGGACGCTAAACAAGTAGGATGTTGTTGGAAGAAACATTTCGAGTAGTAAACAGCTTTCTCCTGATCCTCCCACTGCTGGTAGATCGATCGCAGCTTTTGTGCTCGGGTGTGATGCTGAGCCTGTCTGTCTCAGCATCACACCCGATCTACTGTATTGAGGTTTTAAGAACGGCTTTTTCAACTACTAATTTTTTTAATAACGAGCTTCTTTTAAATTCGCCTACTCGAGAGCTGCTCTGTCTGCAGCTCTATTTGCTCCAAATTCAAAACTACGTTTCAAGGGTTATCGTGGGGATGATGGTAGTTCTGAAGGCAGATAGTGTCAGAGCATTGTCATATGTTATATGTTACCCTGTGCTTAGCTATCAGTTCCAAATCATGCCAAACATCATATTACGTTAATGTTTTAAATAACCTTCATTGTCAAACTTGAGTAACTATGGTTTTACGCATACCTGCGTAAGCTTTTCGTTCCTCGCTTTGTCAATCGACCTTGCGAATGTTGATGCTTGTGTTTGTTTAGGTTCTTGCGCGCTGTACGTCAAGAAAGTGGAGCACTAATGAGGTGTACAGACTCTCAGCATGCAGTGAGAATGTATGCCCACTTTTTCTTAATTTTTGGCATTGGACTGAGCAGCAATTGCAAAGATCATGGTTGACTGTGAAGAATCGGCAGCAGAAGCTGGGTCTCAAAGTCCAGTCCGAGAAGCCTCTTCAACATACTCTGGACTCGTTTTCTAGCTTTGATGGAGGTAATGGCCAGAAAGCGCAATACAAAGTTTTCTTATTGCATTCATGAGCTGATCTACATGATCTGAAAACTCCAGATACTTGGTAGAATTACAAAGCTTACATCGTTCTTTACATCGTACAAAATTGACCAAAATAACGAATTTGTTTAATAGAAGGTTATGATCATCTAGATGTAGTGATGGTATAGGAAGAGTAAAGCTCCTTTTGAAACCATATTTGTCGTGATCACTAGGCAACGAGTCGTGCCATGAAAATAGCCCTGAATAAGATTAGAAGAAGTTTGTGTCGAGGATCCGTTGATGAAATATACTGCACTCTCCTTTTGGTAAGTTGAGAGGAATTATTGCATAGGTTCATGGGTGCAGAAGGAGTTGGGAGGGCGATCACAGGAAATCTGGGATCTTCATCAGTGGTCGGCAATATCAAGTTGACGGATTCAGTTCGAGGAGATGTGCGTGCTTCTGCCACAACTATTGGGGAGCCCTCTTTGTCACCACATGCCAACATTGACGATCTCACACCGAGCACAACACCGTTTTTAACTATCACTGTTCTGGGTGCCACCGGAGATCTTGCCACTAGCAAAATTTTTCCCGCACTTTTTGCTCTATATTATAGTGGCCATCTACCAGAGGTACACTCTTCGCTCATTTATTTATTCTTTATAGCCAGATTTCAACTTCAAACAAAAGCTAAGGCTCTTGCAAGAACAGTTCATGTCCAGCATATGTACACATGAGGAACAAACCACCGTTTGTAATCTGGTTACCTGGAGCATCTTGGACAGAATGAAAGCCACATTGTAACAAAATCTCGCTTAACAGGTGGACAGAAACGAACTGGGACTAATGTAAGCCTTGATTGAAAGCCCAAAGATGCTGATCTTCTGATTCATATTGTCGGGGCCAACAAGTAAACCCTTACTTGGATTACGTAGTGAAGAGATTCTTGATGACACCTTGGAGCTCCGAAGGAACCTCAGTATGAGCAGAAGTCCTATTGTACTCCCTCTTCACTCTCAACTAGTCCTACCCTCTCATCTGATCTTACTTAATCTTTCCTGGTCTTTCAATAATGGCACCGCACAGGGTCTTTGTTCTTCAGGCTGTGGCAGACAAAGTTGATCAATGAGGACTGTGTATTGAAGGCACGTCGTGCGTTTGCATTCGGCCTGATCCAGGAGTGATTGATTTAGCCTATAGGGAGAATGAACCGGTTGCATGAAGGCTTGTCAGCGTATTGACTTGAAGTTGGTCTATGTGCAGAATGTTGCAATTTTTGGCTACTCGAGAAGTCCTCTTAGTGATGAAGATCTCCGAAATCTAATCAGCGAGAGGTTGACTTGCAGGGTTGATCATGCGTAAGTTGAATCAAACTGTTCTATATTGTTTATATGACTGAAAGCCATTTGAGTGACAGAGAACCTCTCTGGGTAGCCGAAGAAATAGAAACGTTGAATCCGGAGTTTCGGGCAAGTCTCCGTGAAAGAGTATTAAAGCACGTCATTGTACTTTTCAAACTTCTTTCCTGGTACGAAACAACAGAGAAGTCTTTCGGATGGATATTTCGTAGCGTGAATATCTGGAGATGGAGCTGTTATTTCTATCTAGGAAAGAAGAAAAGTACAGAGTTTGTTGTCAGAAGCCGAAGGCGATCTGTTTCACGAAGAATTACTCTTCTAACGAACCTTGCAATTCTCTTGGTCAATTATCATAGGGAGGAGTGCGGCAACAAGACAGATGCCTTTCTAAAGAGAGTCTTTTATCAAAGGGGTGTTTATAACACATGTGACCACATGGAAACACTAGACAGTAGGATGCTGGAGTTGGAGGTAATTTCTGACGACATATCTGAGTCTCGTTCAATTAGTATGTAGAAGCTGTCTACTGAATTGGCATGGTTTATATCAAGGGAAGATAATTACGACACGATTTTACCGTAGTCTAGACCTTTATCTAAAATTTGCAAAACTACATGAAGTGGCCACGTGAAAGAAAGTATTGTATCAATCCATCCTACCTGAAAGTTGACCCTGCAAGTTTGTGACCTACTCTTTCTAAAAAGAGAAACCTGTCTCTTTTAACAGGGTAATGGACCTGCCAATCGAGTCTTTTACCTCAGTGTTCCTAAGGAGTGTCTCTTGGAGGTTACAAACTGTTTGAGTGCAAGTGCCAAAAGTAAAACCGGCTGGACGCGCCTGATCGTGGAAAAGCCGTTTGGCGACGACGCTGATTCCTCAGACAAAATTACGAGAGGGCTTTACCAGGCTGGCTTCAGTGAAGACCAGATCTACAGGTAACTGGTCGTCCAGAATTTGTCAATAGTCCAGCTTGATTTTTGACTGATATTCATTCCGTCTTGTTCTCTGGCCTCATGTCGAAGTTAGGTAGTTCTTATTTTCATTTATTGATCATTGTCACAGTCATTGATTATATTGTTGGATTGATCGAATGAGACAATGCCCTTAGCGTTCCGAGAGAAGTGCAAGTTTTCACCTCTTTTCAAGATTCTGGATTATGATGACTGCATGATGATTGTTGACATTGATCGACGTCCAAACGTTCTGTACACTTTGCAGAATTGACCACCTCTTGGGGAAAGAACTCATTGAAAATTTGACCGTTCTTCGCTTCTCCAATTTAGTGTTTGAGCCTCTTTGGAGCCGTACATACATAAAGAATGTACAGGTGAGTGTAAGCATATTGTGTATTTAGAGTCATATCTCCACCATCGTTTTCTTCTTTCTTCGCAAATGGTTGCTCTTTATGCCACGATGTAACTTTATTCAGTCGGTGTGAACTGATTGTCACAGTTTATCTATTCTGAAGACTGGGGTGTTTGTCCAGGAAAAGAAAGGTATGTTTTCGTGGAATGTCTCTCGGTTTTTCATAGATACATATATCTATCTATATATGGGTTAAAAACTGCAGTTAGGCTCGCCTATAAATGTTATGCAACTGAATTGGAACAGCCGAGAGCTTGTGAATGAGTCACTTACAATCATTATAGACAGAACAATCATTGTTTCCTATCGAATTTGCTTCCTTGTTCCCTTCAGAACGTTTTTCATTTTTATGACTCTGGTATCTTGATATCATCGTAGTTTTGCAGGCAATCTGTCTTTGTGGAAATCTTTGCATGAGACGTCCTGACGGCAGATGGATATTTCGAATACTTGAACGATGATTGTATTTTTATCGTGCTTTCAGGTACTTCGACGAACAAGGGGTCATTCGAGACTTGGTCCAGAGTCACATGTTGCAGACCATAGCTCTTTTTGCGATGGAACCTCCTGTTACTCTTGAAGGAGAAGACATACGAAATGAAAAGGTCACATATACGCAGACTTCTTATTCATGTGTCAGCCATTGAAAGATACATTGTTCTCTCTCAGTCGAAACAAGTCTTCCAAACGTTTATGCTTCTGTGATTGTTTAGACGATCACAGGACGCAAAGTCAGCAGTCTATGCCGCTTATACTGTCTACTATTTGGTACTCGCAGGTGAAGGTTTTGAGATCAATGCGGGCACCAACTTATGCCGATGTAGTCTTGGGCCAGTATAAAGCAAGCATTTCAAAAGATGGGAAGTCCAAGATACCAGGCTACTTGGATGAGCCCGATGTTCGCACCAACAGTCTTACTCCCACATTTGTGGCAACTGTATTGTACATTGATAACTCACGTTGGGACGGCGTCCCATTTTTGGTAAAAGCAGGGAAGGGACTCATCAAACATTCGTAAGCCTCCCTTCTTACCAACGACCGTATAATTTCTATTGCTGTGTTTAATGTCCTTTTTCTTCAGCTTTCCTCTCATTTCAAGTTACATATTGGAGCTCACATCTGTGCTGATGGATGCTGACAGAGTGGAGATTCGCATTCAGTTTCGACAAGTCCCGGGAAATCTCTACCGTGAACGCTTCGGATACAACTTGGATGCAGCAGCCAATGAACTAGTTTTACGAGTGCAGCCGGACGAGGCGATAAATCTGAAAGTCAACAACAAGGTTCCAGGACTTGGATTGCAGCTAGACTCGTCAGAACTCAATCTGCTGTATCGTGACAAGTAATCCTCTTTGACTCCATCTTTGCCCTCAATGCGCTAATAGCGCAATATTAGAAGGAATGCCCAATTCATGAGGCTCGAAGTTATGTTGTCACGCGTGTGAGTTATCTGGACGCAGTATGTTAGGTCAGTGTTTACTGTGTTGAGAGTTGGCTGCCTGTTAAGGTCAGTACGGCAGTAAGGGTGAAGGCTGAAGTCAAATGAGAACTGGATACCAGAAAACAGATATATATATATATATATATATATATATATATATATATATATATATATATATATATATATAAAATCAATGTATCAAGAGCTTTGAAATATTAGTGTTAATACACTCTCAGGTCTATGTATTAATTAAATTGCTAGTGGTCTCCTTACAATTCAGAACAATCACAAACATGACGTAAGTTCATGCCGTGAGAGGAATTGAGAACGTGAGTGCATCCATCATCGGAGTGCTAATAACTGGACTCGGTTAGAATTTTGTTCTTTGGTCTTCGTCTACAGATAAAACGGGTAGGATTATTGAAACTAAATGATGAGTTCAGTAATCCAATGAGGACTTTCTTGATCTATGCCACTTTTTGAACGGGAAGATGGTGACAGTTGTGAATTTGGGTCCATAACCTGTGTTGACGTGAGAAAGTAAGGTTGCCTTCATGGCAGTTAATTTATCATTTAATTTTCCTAATAACAGATGTGGAGCTATCGTGAAATGTATATTTCACGATCACGATCTTCACTGATTTATGCTGCTTTCGTTGTACCCGCAGTTTTGGATGTCATTGTTACAGAAACCATTATATGTCAACTATGTATATTCTGACGAGTTCAAACGTGGTAATCTTTTGTAGATACGACGGGGAAGTTCCAGACTCTTATGAGCGCCTAATACTGGATGTTATTGACGGCGATACCCACCTATTTCTCCGTGGTGACGAGCTTGCAGCAACCTGGGAGATCCTCACTCCCTTGCTTGAGGAAATCGAGAACTTGAAGGTCGCTCCTGAACTGTACACCTTTGGGGGAAGAGGGCCGATTGGAGCATATTATTTGGGTGCCCAGCATGGTGTAAAGTGGGCTGATGACTAATATGGAAAGAGTGTAAATCAATTAGACGACTTTTTTCTAGGCTATGGCACTGAGGGCTCAAAATCAGAAATGCCTACTGCAGCTTCATCTCTTTCATGGTATAACAAGCCACACTGGAAAATCCCCTTTCGACGAAATTGTACCTTCAACTGAAATCTAGTCTGCACACTATCTCTAGCTAGCACCGCTTTGTTGTGCCATACCATGCGCAGGAAACGTTTGTCCACGTTTATGCAAGACTATCGTCTGGTTAGCCAAGAACTGATCTCGTCGTCTGCCAAAATACCACATTTGAGTTCTGTTGAACGAGCCTTGAATATAAGAGCGGCACGTGTTGGATGCACATCACCTGACTACTCAGTTCTTGCACACTAAGGCATCTGCAACGTTATGCCACAACACTCACAAATCAACTCATGGGTTGTACTTGCGATTGTCTCATTTCAAATCGTCTTTAATAACATGATATATTTTAGTGGGTGGAGAGAATGAACCATCTCAAGGTTTGAGCTTAATGGGATCTCCTTTTTTTGACACGGAAAATTGTGAAATGATTGGCTTTTGATATCACGATGGTAAACGATGGTAAAGAAACGAGAACCATTGTGAGCAGATCGGAGGTCATCAAAGTCGGTCTCCTCATAGCCGGTGGGAGTGGACCGTTGAGGCTATGACCCTTCGTCTCTACTAGTTGGCCCAGAAGATGACCGATCAAAGTTCCCAGCTGCTTTCTCGTCTTGTGGACTTTAGAGCTCTATCCTCCAACCCTGTCCTTGACGCTGTCGAGTACGAAAGTCCTTTATTTCCGCGGACTGAATGAATGGTTTCTTGTGCCTCTCATCTGAGCAGGAAGAGAAGGATGGAATATAAACGAAGACTCTCAAAGAACTTCAGAAGCCGTACATCTCAACTTCAAGAATCGGCTTGCGACAGCACCTCACGAAGATGATGAGTGTGGTCGACGGAGGAGCCAATCGTTTCTAGGTCCACTTTCAAGTACTGTATAACCGGCGAGAAGGATGCAAAAGAAAGCGAGTCCACACTTTCAAAACACACACTCTTGAGCTGAATGGCTGGGAGGTTCGGGCTCATGGGCAACCAATCAGATGCCACACTGTGCAAACAAAAGCAGAGTTTCCGAAAGCAGATGATCCGTTGAGTTTCTGGCTCTTGATCTCGACCGTGAGCATCTGAAAAGTTGGAAGATCGTCGAAAGAGAGAACTTGATGTATTATATGACTTTTCGGACTCGGTGGTGTATTGATCATGACTCCATGAAGATTCATGACGTTCTGTTGGACCAGGTCCTGACGTCTTCACTGCGATTCTCTCAAAGCTTGGCGGCCAGAATGGAGTGGCCCTGTCCCCAACAACCAACTGTCACCATCGTTCAGATGTCACTTGGCGACTTCGAGCCCTTTCCACCCGAACTAAAGTCGCATTTCAGGCGGTGGTACCCATACAAGAGGAATTTTCTCTTGTCATCATGTTCTTTCTCGGCGCTTTCTTCCATTTCATAGCTTCCAACCTCATCGCAAACACTGCGTTAGTCACAGCCGTATCTAGGCAGAGAACTTAAAGTTGTGTCGTATGCGCGCTCGCTATCTTGAGAATACATGTCACTTCAGCTCACTTCGTGCTACCACGTTTGCTTCTATTCTTTGGTCTTACTCCACGACATTGTCAATGTCTGAGCTCACCCTCTTTGGAACGAAGACCTCGACTGAACTGCTTCTCCGCACCCACTTTGGCGTGCGTGGGCCGGTTGTAGCAAGCATTCCATGAGCGAAATGGACCAAAATAAGAACAGTGGATTCGGCATGTGGCTATTCGATGACTCAGGTACCAAACATTTTACTCGCAGCAGCAAGCAATTTGGAAAAGGTCAAAGTGATTGGAGTCGTATACGGCTCATGGCATATGGAGTCAAATCGGCTGATTACCTCGAAGTGCTACGAAATTGTCTGATTTTGTGCCTTGTCCACGCCGGCTTTCGCCCAACCTCCAGAGACCGAGTCAGCCTGGGCACCAAGTTGGGCACATGCAGAGCATTTCTCGGACATGCTTTGCTTTGTGGATCTGATCCCATATTCCGGGACGGAGTAGATTAGAGGGAAGATTTGAGACGTTAAAAAAAGTCGTCCCATGCACCAACATGCCAATGGTAGTGTCTAATTACTGGCCCGTCTCCAATCATGAACCCTGGCCCTCTGAAATCGGCACTTTCTTTCTAGCACACGCAGACGAACAGATATGAAGCTTTGGAAACAAATGCCTACGACTTGAGCAGTTAGAACATGCATACATAATCATGGGGCAGTATAGTCCCCATCTTTGTTTTGTATTTGCCCCATTTCTGGTCAGCTCGTCGTTTGCCCTTTGTATCTGGATCTGAGATCTGCTGTGAAAGAGTGACCCAGATATTCCTCTTTATGGATGTGGTCAAAGTTGTCCATGTATCTGTGTCCATTCTGTAGCCTCACCCCGTCATGCAACACCCAGGTTGGGATTCTGATTCCATTTCGTCTCGGTCTCGGTCGATAAGATGGATGGATGTTCTTCTGCGCTCTCATAGAACCGACCCGGATACCCATGTTGCTGCTGCTGTCGATATCTCATTCATTCAGATTCCGCTTTGTTCAATTTGCACTCATTTTTCTTTCGTTCACTACACCCCCACCCCATCATTGCCCATGTAAAAGACCGTGATCTCACTGATACATGTGCCACTTTCCGTTTGTGTGCCTTAACGATGCCGTCAAGGTTAGATGCACAGATGCAGGAGAGATTGTATGATTGCGTTTACATCTTTATCCTTGGGCTTCAAGTTACTAGCGGACACCGCCCATCGAGTTTATCAGAGTTCAAGCATGAACAATTAAGCAATGAAATTAATGAGGTGAAATAGTTTCTTCATCGCTTAAGTTAGAGTTGGAGTCTAAGATAGAATATTACAAAGTGCATAGGAACCAAACGAGTTGAATGAGTACATTCACCAACCTCTTCCTCCTCCTCTTGGACCTGAAGAGGAGGAGACACATTTGAGCTTAGGTGGCTGGAAAGCAACAACATGGATTACGGTTGTGTGGCAGTTCATGTGAACTATCACTATCCTTCACGTGAAAAATACGCCCGAGTGATTGATCAATCATGCCAAAGTTAAAACGAAACCCCTCACCCGAGAAAAAATCAAATGAATGAGGAGTCTCCGAATTAATCAATCAATTCCGCTTCATTCAAAGTAAGGGTCTGCACACAAACTTCCCCGCATTGATTCGTTAGGGATCCCATCGCACCTTCCCCATCTCCATCCATCTTCTGCATGCCAGGCACAACTCCACCATGAAGTAAAACCCCAAGCAAGGCTAAGGGCCTCCTTGAACAACATCACCCCCGCGAATAATGAAATAAGGCCATCAAACGAATGGCATCGGAGTCCCATGGAACAATAAGAAGAAATAATTATATTAAATAGAACATTGAGATCAAAACATGTGCACTCGCTCGCCTCGCTGTGCGAGAGAGAGAGGAGGAGGAGTCGAAGTCGTCCCCGCCGGAAGCTGAACTTCCCACAGAGCTACGTCACGTCACATGACTCGATTGCATGAATCAAGGCAAGACGAGAGACGGGGTAATGGAGGTCGTCGTAATTGTCTCCTCTCCCTTAAGCCTCTGATTGGACTGACTGAATGAATGGGTGCAAATGGAAGTCACCACTTTCAGGCAAATTCATTCTCCCCTAACCAAACCTCGTGCCGCGGCTGCTGCGACCATAACGAGCCAGGGCCGGTAGGGCGACTAGGGCCCGATTGGGTTATAAATACGGGGCGCAGACAAGGCTTCGGGAGCAGAGAATGAGACCAGCTTAAATTAAGCCTGGCCGAGTTAAATTTGGTCAAAAAGTCTTTGTGTGTGCGCGTAATAGATCGTAATGTCATCAATCGAAAGGCTGCTGCTGCTGCCGACTAGAGATTCCGCTAAATTTATTCGGCTGCACCTCAGGACTAGATCCATCTCGCACTGGATTAAGTCTCCGGGGGTAAATTTGGACGTTCATTTGTCACGTCTGTGGGGCTCGCACCCCATGCTCCATGTGTGTACGGCCCGACGGGCCTTCCCGTCCCCTTTGCTATTTTTATCGATGCGCTTTTCTCATTCATTTCTCTTTGTCTCTATAAGAGCCGGAAGCGTGTGTCTCCGTATCTGTACCCCGTATCCTCTGACGACGTAACCGTATGTAACCGCTGGCTTATCTGTAACGTGGTTTGGAGAGCAGGGCAGACGCAAGCAGACATTGTGGTGACTGGCCTGGTCTGCATTGTGATGTGATCTGCAGCTGCTGTCGATAATTGTGCTGTCGAGCTGAGCGAAATAAGTTTCTCTCTGCTTGTGAAAGTTGATCATCATTCGGTAGAGGGTCCAAACTTCCATCGAAAGAGAAATTTTATAATCCAGATATCTGGTGTGAAAACGGATGTCTATTAGTATACTCTGAAAACCGAGCTATTTCTTTCCACATTGATTGATGAAGTAGACATTCATCTTTGGTACTTATTCGTAGAATAAAATACTATGTATCTCTTTGGTTTATTGTTCTTCAGTTCATAATACTCGGTAAAAAATATTTCAACTCTAAGAAGTATTAATTAAAAAGTAAAAAAATGATTTTCAAGCTACATAAAACATTGCTCTTGAATCAGATCCAAATACTCTAAATGATTGATAATCTTCTTAAAATGCTTCTTATTAAAGACTAAAATACAAATAGCAATTTAAAAATTTTGGGATATTTTGAATGGAGACATTTTACACATTCCAATTCATACAAACGTAATTATTTGTCCAAAAAAAAATACATTTCATGTACAAATAAGATACACATCATGTAGCGTTGTATCCAATAAACTATTTGAGTAAAACTGAAAAAGAGGATAATGTTATATTGTTATAAATCCTAATGACTATACATTATAAAAAAAAATTAGTTAATTTGAATGATAATGATTCATAAGGTGTTGATAAAAAAAATTAACTACGTTTATGAAATTAATTGTGTTTTCTAACATAGTTAGATTAATTTCATAAGAATACTATTGATAACTCAAGTAGCAAGGTAACTCAGATAATCCGAACATAGGGTTTCTTGACATACCTCGTACTCTTTGTAATCGTAGCAAATGTGGCTCACCCCAAACACTATTTTAGGTTTTTTCAACAAGAGCTTATGTTTCTAGAGGTTAATAATGTATCGTTTGAGTGCATGTTTATGTATGAGGATTATTCTCCTGTTTTTTCTTTTCATTTTTCATTACAAATGAATATCATTCTTAATTTTTGTAAAAAAATCTGATGAATATTTCTTTTAATGCAATTTTTATGAAAATAAAATTACATTTTGAAAGTGAAACACAATTTAAAAAAATAGTTAAAATATGATCTAAAATAGCAATAAAAAAGATGTTTTTGATAAAAACTCAAAAAATGTAAACGATGATTTATTCCTATATGTAACAATTTTGAATTAAGAAAAAAAATAAAATTTAAAGTTGATAAAATCTTTGGCTGAGTCTACAAAACTATGATGTAATAGATGCGTGAATCATGAATGTATGAATTTCAATTTGCACGCAATATTGTTAAAATAAATGCCAAATGATCAGTATTTGTATTGAAATTTTTTGCTTGTCATCATAAACAATAAATCTATCTTTTCTAATCAAATTGAAAATAATATGAATTGTTATATTTTACTTTCATATTTATCTCTCGTATCCGTGTATAAATTAAACATATTAAGTATATTGTATAAATAAAATAAGATTTCTATTCAATGTGTATTTTAAATGCAATTGTAAACAAGGTTAAATAAAAGTTGTGAAAAATATTGAATTATTTGTTATGATATTTATTGCAAATGAATATTTAGTGAAAATCACTTGACGATTGTGCACATTTTGTTTAAATTCTTTTTCATTACAAAGATTTTAGATATAATATATTTATATTAAAATACTAAATATATGATTCAAACAAGTATTTTTAAAGAAATTTTATTGGATTTCATTTTTGGAAATAAATTGTTCAAATTTGTAGATTTCATGAATTAAGCAAATTGAATCAATTCATTTTTTATTTTTTCATATTGCTAATGTTAAAAAATGAAAAAAAAATCAGATTTAATATTGATATTTTCAATTTTTTGATAAAATCTTTAATTATTTAATAATTTATATATTGAAATTGTTGATCATGTTTTTATAGTCATTACATTTAAAACATTGTAAATAAAAATTTAACATAAAAAGCTAAAAAATTTAATGTAATTTCTATAGTATAAATCAATTTTTATTAAATAATATTAGAAACTGAAATAAATTAAGTTTTTATTTTTTTTAAAATTTTTATAATAATAAATTTTTATATTTCTATTCATAAATATTCATACAAAATTAATGTAATTTTTTTATAAAAATAATAAATAAAATTTTAATTTTAATTTTTTATTCAAATATAAATATATATAAGTAACGTATATACATTATAAATGATGCATGTAAGATATTATTAAAAAATAAAAAATAAAAAATGTATGATTTTTTTAACAAATTTTATTTCAATGAATTTAAGTCATTATATAAATAAATTTTAATCTAAGGTTTAAATTATGAAAAGAACTGAATTAATTCATAAGACTTACTCACACTCATTGGCGTAAAAAACGTAGTAGGTTTCGATTCTCCCACTCCATCAATGTTCCACTTGTGGGTCACACGTAAAGAATCAAACCGTTCATGAAGGCGAGCTGATTCTGCGCAAAGCACCTTCACATACTCCAATAGAGGTTTACCATTCATAACACTTAGCTTTTGACAAAACTATGACAAACCATGTGTTAAATGACAAATTGAAACTCATTGCACAATCTTGTATCATTGATTTACTTTTGAAAAAACATTATTGAAAATATGTAATATAGCAAACAATCAATTTGAATGACTTGTAAACTAGTCTCGAGCGGGACGTTACTTGCTCAAGATATATCTGGTGTCCATCAAGGAAAAATCACAGATAATGTCGAGAGCAGTTAATAGTTTCCTTGGGATCACGCATCTCCGATATCAACTTTCGCCTCATGAACATCTACAATGATACAAAATTAGTTAAATATTGTAAATTACAATGTTAATGACATTTGTTTACATTTTTGCTAAGTTTTACTCAGAATAAAACTATTTTGAGGTGGCACATCTTTTATTTTCAGTCAATATCGCACCAATTATATTGAGAATTTATTATCGATTTACATACATAAAAATAAAATCTGATGAATTTTTGAACTTATTAAAGA